TCGTGGGCCCGAGACAGCGCCATGGCATGCGCTGCACAGGTTGTCCACTGCCCTTCTGCGAGATTGTATGAGGATGGCGTTAATGTACAAAGGCCTGTGCGAAGCTATTTAATAAGGGGATATACTGCCATATATAAACTCCACATCCTGCCCTAGAAGGGCTAGCAATGCACGGGCCTGTGGACTATGAGCCAGTGGGGCCAGCTGCTGCTGTCCTACATGTAGGACAGGATTAACATTAGCGCCAGCTTAGTTAGCAGCAGCAACAGCAGCATTGTAGAGAACAAGAGCCCTATTTTAAGTGTTAGCTTTATACAACAAGAGTAATTAGGATACTGCAGGCTTAATGCCTACATTATTGTTGTTGTTGTTGTTGTTGTTGCTGCTGCTGCTGCTGTTGCTGTTGCTGCTGTTGTTGCTGTTGTTGCTGTTGTTGTTGCTGCTACTGCTGTAGTAGTGGTGGATGTGGAAGAGTGGTGGTGGCGGTGAGTATCTACAATTATCGTACGACGCCGTAGTGAAGGCAGTCGCCATAGAGGGCAGTCGCGATACAGTCACGTGAAACGACCCTTCACTCCTTAGATCTTTAAAAAACATCGTACAAATGCGTTATAGTATGTTTTGCCTAGTAAAATACTATAGTGTTTCATACCCAAAATGCACCTAAGCGATTGGCGATTAGTTTTTTCCCTTCACCAGCTAACAGTCCGCCGTACTCGCGCACTTGCCCTATGCGCGACCAGCTTGCAAAATGCTGCAATTTTCTGCAATTTGCTGCAAACTGCTGCAACATGCTGCAATTTGCTGCAATTTGCTGCAATTTGCTGCAAACTGCTGCAACATGCTGCAAAATGCTGCAATTTGCAGCAACATACTGTTCGAGATTATTGCTCGTACTATGTAGCAGCTTTCGTCAAGCGTTCCTCCTGTCTTGACAGTAGGTGCGCAAATCTGACAGTAAGCAAGAAGTAGAAGTAGTATCTAAATAATATTCCAGGCTGTACTGTACTCTATAGTGCTAGAGTGGGTTGTTATGGGCTATAATAAAGTTTGTTGTAGTGTGGTCTTGGCAAAAGTGAGCAACTTAGGTGTGCGAGCACCTGCCAATCCTCGACACACCGATGCGGCTGATGCCAATCCCCGACACACCGATGCGGCTGATGCCAATCCTCGACACACCAATGTGGCTGATGCCAATTCCCGACACACCCAGGGATGGGTCGTATACGGTATGAAACGATCCATACAGTATACGGTATGAAACGTATATATACTAGTATAAGATGTATGTATGGATCGCTTACTAATACATAATAATTCTTTAGAAACTAAGCAAGCCTAGCATCTCCCCCAGCACCTCCTCGCCCTCTTCATCCTTAGGAACATCCTTAATCTCTACCTGCTTATTATTAAAGTACTTAGGCGCCTTAAGGGGGTCATTTTAAGTTAATTTTAAGGTTGCTAAAAATGTACACAAGCTTCTCTACACACTTATTAGTTAATTAATTATGTACTTTGTTGTAAATAAAGCTGTGTGTACTCTAATTACACTCTGCTGCAGCTGTTGTTAGATTAATGCTAAGTGTGTATATTGCTAGCTCTTAGAGGTCTTCACTGCACCTAATATTGTACCACTAACTAGCTAGATTGCTGTATTTATTAAAGGTATTCTAATTAATGTTGTTAGCATAGATTCCTCTGCAAAAATACGCGTCTTTAAGCTCTATAGCAATACTAGACGCACGCTGGAGATCGCTGTATTGTTAGTGGAGGTATTGCCTAATTTCTGCCCACATCTCTGCTGTAAACTTAACTGGGCGCTTAGCGCGCACAGAGGGGTTGTAAATGTACATAATAAGGAACTCTGTACGCTAAATTTGCCTAGAACGCTTTGTAATAATGTCTAGTACTTCTTAGGTAGCCAGCAAGGTAGTTGTAACTAGTTCTGTAGGGAGATAGTAGATATATGCAAAGGCTTAAGAGCCCTTTAGCTGTACGCTCTGCAGCGCCTAAGTAACCTTCTAAAAGGGCTTTAAAAGTTCTTGTAGGTTGCAAACCTGCTTCTAAAAGCTATATTAAAGTATAATTAATTATATCTTAACATATCTCTCTTAATTATTGTAGGCATTTTGCGTATAGAGGGGTGAGAAGGCTCTGTAGAGAATATGCTTAAGAATAGGTTAGTTGCTTAGTAAGCTCTTAACAGTGTTAAGCTTTCTCTACTACCTAGTCTTACTAAGTAGAGCTAGGGCTCTGTAGGCTATTCTTATTAATTTTAACACTAAATTTAGTAATCCTACCTAAAGAGTTAATCTTTTAAAGTATTTAATAATTTTAAGAACTGTGTTTTACTATGTTGCAACATAGTTAAGCTTAAATATATCCTTAATAGCTAGATTAAGGATGTGGGTAGCGCACCTAAGCATAAGCACCTTAGAAAATTACTGTGCTAGTATTTTCTGCGCAACAACTATATTGCTAGCTGTATTTATTGTAATTATAATAATATTATTTAGATTTAGCTTTTTAACTACATCTCTAACTTCCTAAGTAATATACTTGCTAGTATAGTAATAAGCGCCTATAGGGGTAGATTTCTAGAAGATAGCGTTGCATTTTATTACTGTAATGTAATTAACAACTGCCTTACTGCGCAAGTTAGTCTACTTGTTAGAGAGTAGAGTAACCTGCCTGTAGCTATTCTCTAGCTTCTTTAGCACTCTCTCTTTTATATTTATATATGTTGTATTAAGTATCTTGTTTGTAAGTTGCTTGCGTGATAGCAGCGTAAACACTAGGTAAATAGTACTTAGAAATTATTAGAATGCTAGCTGCTTAACCTATAAATTTACTAGTTAACATGCGTGTTAATGTGTATATAAAACGCTTACTTATAAGGCTAAGTAGGACTCTAGTGCTGTATATTGCTTTAGTAAAAAGTAGGGTGCACTTATTGCAATTATAAGCGCTTATCTGCAGTTCTGCTAGCAGCAGCTTCTGCTCTAAACTTTTAACAACTAATTATTAATTATTTTAACGTCTATATTAATTATAAAGCTTTAACAGGAGCTTGTCGCAGCGTCTTATATAGCGCTTAATACGCTGTACAGTAGAGCTAGTCTACTGCTTATTGCAATAGCGACATTTAACTTTTAGATTATTGCTGCTAATTTAGGCAACTCTAATAACGTTGCTCTACTTAATTAACTCTTAGGGTAGCATCTTAACACTAGAAAATTATATATAAAGGCGCTCTGTATAGTACTACTAAGCTTTAATTGCATAAAGGTTAAATGTTAAGCTCTAAAGGGCTAGAAAGTTAGTGGATTTGTTTACCTCTAAGATGCGCCCTACACATAATTTTACATAAGCAGCTTATTAGTTAAATAATGCGCTTACTAAGCGTTCTATACAGCCTTAGGTTTCATACAGTATGTATGTATGTGTATGTATATATATACGTTATATACAAGTGGGTCTGCCATCCCTGAAGGTGACAGAGAAACAGCGTTACCGGGGTTTATCCGAAGAAATTCTGACTAACTAGCGCGTCTAAAAGAGGAGATTCTGCTCAACTTTTTGTTCTGCAAACCCGAATATAATAAGCAGAGCAAGCTCTGCTAATAAGTTAGTTGTTATACAACATGTAAAATAAAAGGCATATAGTAAAGTTTTATATTAATAGTACTATAAGTCTAAATTAACACTACATTAATATATAATAGGCAGTAGGTATTTAATTAAAAGGCATAAAAAGTGCTACTGCAGTATTTAACATTATTGTAAAGTGCAGAGAGAACCTGTTTTTGCTAGATCTAAAATTATTAGCTTATTATATAATAGAGGGAGTAACTTATAGTATGCGCTATAACTCCTAGAGCTACTTATATGTTTAGGTTAAAGGCAGCAGGAAAAACCTAGATGCATCTTTTGCAGCTATTAGCGCTATGCTGCTTCTAGCTATTTTTATTATTCTTTTTAGCATTTTAAATTGCAATGTCTATGTTTTTATATAATAAAATAAAAAGAAAATACTTTTTATAATGCTTGTTATATAAAGTAGGGCTTAATAGATATTTTTTTCTCTATTATTTAGATTTTAAGCTATTAACTACTTCTATTATAAATAGAATTTTATTATTCTAAGCTAAATTTTTATTAAATGTTTATTGAATAACTTATTAAGAGTATAATAGCATAAAAAATTAAGTAAAAGACTAATTATTTAGAATAGTTGCCTATTTAGCCTTAGCGCTGGATTGATTCATGGATCCGATCCAGATCCAGGATAGCGCCACGTGATTCCGGATAATCGATTCGGACCAATTCCCGCCAGCACTGTATCGTAGAGGCTCGGGGATCAACTTGAATATATATAGCGTGCTAGTTTGCCACGGCGAAGCTTCGAAATAAGTCTAGATCAAGTGACGAGATGGGTACTTGTAGAGCAACGTGTTAAAGATTTGCACTTAAACCTCATCAGGCAGACAAACGCCTCGATCACGCTAGCAGGGAGGACGGCCGACCCGGCCCGGCGAGGAAGAATAAAACGTACCCCCCGCCGGTAATGAAGTCGCCAGCCCACTATCGAGCTCGACATAGAAGAACAGACATCGGCAGAACAACCGAGTGAACGCACGTAATCGGCAGTGCTTGGCTGACGTTTCGTGGATGAGGCGGCTAGAGCGCCTCAATTCTAGACTCGGCAACGCGCTGCCTGACGTCAGAACGAGGGCTCGGCGGGACTTGGCCGCCTTCATGGAGGACTGTGCGTAAAAGCTTATTTATGCCTTATTTGATGGCGAGCCATAGCACTGTGCTTGGTCTACGCCTGTACTAACATGGCATCCGAAGAGTGGGTGCTGGAGATGTACATAATGACCGTAACAAGATTGTTCAACTTAATAATTAAGCAATCAGAATCCAGATGCCAATATCATTCTTCGTCACTGACCGTCCCACGATAATCTACGATTGCATAATACAGTGGTTCCATGATCTCAAACTCCCTCAAGAGACTGCCAAATCGTCTCATACGTCGACAAAAGAGCGCGTCTAGTTCATCAGTCCATCAATCTTCTGCGGCCTTCCACTCCTCTAGGAGGAGCGATGCAGACCCTGGAGCCAAGCTGCCGTCATCGTATACCTCCTCAAGGCCTTCGTTGAATTGATCAAGCATAGCACGAATTTGCGTGCTGTCAACTTGGCTGCGCATGTCATCCATGTATATCCAGTAAGTCTGTATCTCCATCCATTTCTCCTCAAAACTTGTGATAACTTCGTCCTCAAATTCGGGCGATGACCATTGTACCATGCCAGAATATTCGTTCTGGCATCTCTGGCGAGCTGTTATTCGAGACGAATTACTATCATCATCGTAGTCATCATCGTCATCGTCGTCAAGCACTATCGGGTCGTCTACATTACAAATCAGTCTTTGCCTCCCAAAAATCGGGACTTCATACCCTGCGATGCCTGGATGGCTTGAGTAGGCACCGCTTCTCCGCCTTCAAGTCCAACCGTTCGCTCTAGAGAATCCCTGATCGCCACTTCTTGACTGCTCTCCCTGTTCGATTCCACAGGCGTCCGCACTTCGATAGCTGCCTCCGTCCCGACGACCGCTTTTCCGGTAGGTGGCTCTACTATAACGACCGCTTCTACAAAGTGAATTGGGGTCGGAACTTGGCCTTCGTCAATGATCTCCTCAGCTGATGGAGCTTGCGTTCCAGGCGGTGGACTAAGTTGCCTTTCTGAACTCTCGGGAGAAGGCTGGTCGTGATAGTTCAATGGAGTCCTGACCGGTTCTTCCGTCCCTTGCAGCTGGGCGCCAGAAGTATCTGTGTCGATCGCATCAGGCAGAGTTTCCACTCCGAAGGGCACCCCATCTTCGGCTGTCTCTTCCTCATGCGGCGCCAGGACCTGTCAACGCGAGTCAGCTTCTCGCCATGGACCAGCAGTAAGCTTCAACTTGCCTTGTGTAAGCCCTCAGTAAGGTGAACGATGGCTGCATCGCTCATGTTCCCCCACTCCGTAAATGACAACTCTCTGCCTCGTGGCCCTTGTCGTTCATCGGACTCCGGGGACATATCTACAGGAGCGATATCAGGCTGCCCCATATTGAGAGGAGCGACATTGTCATTTGAGCCATCGGCCTCGGCAGGTACGCTCACCGGAGTCGCATCAGTCAGAAGGGCCTTTCTGCCGGTAGCCATCCTACCGGTGAGACATCGCTGATAAGGAGTGGACTCTAGACGCATGGCCCCAGCGCACTTCCCGGATCGCGTCTTCGGCATGATGGGTCGTGAATGGCTAGGTGAGCGGCTCGTTGTAAATTGCCACTATAAAAGGAGTGCTCCGCGGTGGAGGTACAAATTGGACGTGACTGCTAGCTGACCCGCGGCAGAAACTTGCTGTCTTATATGTCTCCCATCACATCACCTGTCCCTCGACGCTGCCATCCAGAGGCGCTTCGATCTCACCTACTTAGAGGCATATAGAAGTGCGTAGAGACTTAGAAACCTAGGAGTTCTATTAACACCGATAGGCCTTGTACAAAGGATATTAGAAAACCACTAAGCTAGCTAAGAGGAAAGGTGTAACTAAATACTTAGAAGAATAAAAGTATAGTAGAGGCTAGAGCAAGGTTAGAGCAGATACAAGGAACCTTTAGATACTAATTTATTAAGTAACCTAAGATAACGTACACTACAGGCAAGTTGCTGACACACTTAAGTTGCTTTTACTAAAGCCCTACTAAACTACTCTTTTTATACTAATGCATTTCTAACAACACTACTTAGATGTGCTAAAAAAATACTAGATATAGCTTATAATTTAAGCTTTTAAATAAAAGATAACACTTTTAAATTAATATACTACAGTTATATATAAAGTTTTTTTAAAAAATAATAAATAACTAACATACTAGATAACTTTTATAAGCTAATTCTATAGCTAACTTGTCGCGTACAATTATCCGCCTATATATATCCTTCTACTATGCTAGCTAGAAGGTTAACCTTTTAGCAAACGCAACATAACTTATAAAAGCTAGATAATAATAAAAAGTAAGTAATTATTAAGCATATACTTAAGCTATATATATAAGAATTTTCCTCTTAGCTAGTAGCTATAGCTAATATAGCTAATTCTTTACAGGCTAAGTGTAATTTAGGCTATATTAGCATAAACTAGCTTAGTATACTTATAAAGTGTTATTTAAAGCTTAACTTTATTAAAAAAAAACTAGATTAACGCTAGTAGATGTGACGGCGCGTACCGCGTCACATGCTCTGTGTGTAACGATCCTCATGAATCGTTCCATCTCGAGTCGCCCGGAACCTCCGGAAGGCCCTCGTATCGGCCCCGACCTCGACCTGGCCCCGACTCTGCCCTGCCCCCTGCTGTACCCCTATTCCTTCATGTATTTAGTCGCACCTCGCCCCCGTAGCTAGCTCGGTAGTTTTCTGATATCCTTTCGTACAAGGCCTATAGGTGTTAATGGCATTCCCAGGTTCAGAGTCCCCACGCACTCCCATATGCCTCTGAGTGGATTCCCACCGCATTCGGACCCATTGTCTTGCCTGCGCCGTTACATATAGCAGATGCGCTAGGCTATAACAGTAGCTAATTACAACCTAAAGCTTACCTACTAACTAAAGACTGTAAATGTAGTAGCAGATGTGTTGTTAAAAAAGTAGAAAAAGCTAAAAACTTAAAAAAATAAAAATAAAGCAGCTTATACACACGCTTTTCTTATAGTATACTAGATTAACCTTGTTAGATTAAAGCACTGTTTCTAGGCTTCCTGAGATGAATGATGGGTTTGGATATAATGTATAGGATGATGATTGATTGTATTGGTTTATCGATCCTTTTTCTGCTCTACTCGTGTTGCTCGGCTTTTGTTTTGCCGATCCGAGTCCCTCGCGCACTAGCCCTATGCGCGACCAGCTTGCAACATGCTGCAAAATGCTGCAAAATGCTGTAACATGCTGCAATTTGCTGCAATTTGCTGCAACATGCTGCAATTTACTGCAATTTGCTGCAACATGCTGCAATTTGCTGCAATTTGCTGCAATTTGCTGCAACATGCTGCAATTTGCTGCAATTTGTTGCAACATGCTGCAATTTGCTGCAATTTGCTGCAATATGCTGCAAAATGCTGCAATTTGCTGCAACATGCTGCAATTTGCTCCAACATGCTGCAATTTACTGCAATTTGCTGCAGCATGCTGCAATTTGCTGCAATTTGCTGCAATTTGCTGCAACATGCTGCAAAATGCTGCAAAATGCTGCAACATGCAGCAATTTGCAGCAACATACTGTTCGAGCTTATTGCTTGTACTATGTAGCAGCTTTCGTCAAACGTTCCTCCTGTCTTAACAGTAGGTGCGCATATCTAACAAACCTAAGCACTGTTAAGGCTATAGTAGACAACCTAGTTTAGTAATCTGCAAAAGAATTATTAGCTATAAATGCTATAGAAGTAGCTACTAGTAACACCTTTATAGCTTCTTTATCTTTAAATAAGCCTTATGCGCTAATTAACTACGTCTATAAAGTAAACTAGAACTATATAAGCCTACAGCTATATTAAAAGCAGGCCTAGAATAAAGCAGAGACGCTATAAAAGCTTATAAGTAAAGGCTTTCTTATACATAATAGTAAGTAACTAGCAGTTTTAGCTATCTACTTTATATAAACTTATCTTATTTATATAGTTTACATAACTTAAGTAACTACTTACTTAAGTAAAAAAAAGACTTTAAAACTACTATATAACTAATACTACTAGCCTTATATAAGCTAAAATGTTACTAACTATGTTACAGTGTGTAAGGCCTGTTAATAAAGCTACACACTTTAAAATAAAACTCTAAGACTGCTTAAGTTACTACTTATTCTATAGCAAGTCTAGTAAGATGTTTTAATAAACTTTACGTTATTTCTACTAAATAAGAAAAAGTATAATAACACTTTTATAGTAGTAAACTGCCTAAGTAAACACTACTTTTTACTACTATACTATAAAATAATAATAGTAAAAGATGTAGTAGACTTATACTATTACTATCTTTAGTGTTATTTTAGCTTTTTAAGATCTATTATCTTTAATTAGAGCCCTTAATTTACTTTAAGGTTTATAGATAAGCTTTACTAACTTATAAAAATTAAGTAAAAGCTTTTAACACTCTACTACTTACAGATAGATAGTAATATAGAGGTGCTAACCTAGTATCTTAACTAGCGCTTATAACTCTTTGTAAACTACTACTAAGATAACTAGTTAAACCTTTTACTATGCATAGATTAGGCATAAGCTACACTACTTTATAAGATAACTAGACTATTACTATTTAAAATTAAATTTAGTTACTAACTAACTTACTATTAAAACTAAAAAAAATAAACTAAGTAATTAAGTTCTGTACATAAGCAGATGTTATGTAAAAAGGCTTAAAGCTATGCTAAAACTTAGCGCAACATAGTGTAGCTTACTATAAAAATAGCCTAAAAAGGCATTACACAAGCCTAGTAGTAATAAGCAACCTAGGTAAATAAAAAGAGACATAGTCTAAATTTTATAGTAAGTAATAAAGTGTACATAACACTTAAAAGATTTACTTTAAGTTGCTTTAGTTAAAAGCTTAACTACTAGATATATAGACTATACTCTATTATAGGCATAAAGGGCTACTTATACTACTTAAAGTTGCTACTATACATGCACATGCACAACATCTTCTACGCAGACTGTCTATAAAAGGAATTACTAATAGTGCTGCTAGGCTAGCTTAAGCTTAAAGAAAAGCTTATTAACATTAATAGTTACTTTAAATAGCCTATATAGGAAATTCTTAACAGCTGTCTCTAGTACTGCTGCCTGCAGTATAAGGTCTTCTAGGTAGCCTATAACTCTAACTCTACTTAGTACAACGCCTAAGAGTTTATAGAAGCTCTACACAAGGTAAGAGACTTTTATAATGCATATCTAAACAAACTAGGTCCTCTAGCGTAGTTAGAAGCCTAGCTGTAAGTGTACAAGACAGGAGAAGACCTAGAGGCAATAAGAGAGAATAACTAGCCTAGGGAACTTGCTAGTAGAGGGGACTATAATAGAAGCTAGGGAACACGCTATACATGTTATTATTGTACGTAACTACAAACTTAGTAACAAGCCTGCCTTAGAGAGGGGTAATGTAACAGTGCTGCTTATTAAGCTTTACTACTAGTTATATAATCTTACTAAGAGTTAAGCAAGCACGCTAGCGCCTTAGCGCTGCGCAAGCTTTTCTCTTGCAAAAACTCTTTGCCTTCTTTACTCTCTATCCTAGTTTAGCTAAAATAGAGCTAACCTACTCTACCTTGCTTCACTAGCTCTATACAGTAGTAGAGACAGTGCTTGTTATCACAGAACCTATTATGTAACTTAAAGCCACTAATAGCTCTAGGCTGCGGCGGTTGGCGTGGCTAGGCAGCGGTAAGCTAAAGGAGTGTTGGTGGCTAGCGCATAGAGAGCTTTGTAACTGCGAATAGAATATATTATAGTTAAAATAAGCTTTAAAATAAGCTATTAATTATCTAATTTAGATTAAACTTAATCGAGATAGTTAAAGGTAAAGTTTTACTACTAATGTATACCTCTTACTATTCTAAGCTCCGCTTTTCTAAGACATTTATAAATTAGCGTAGCATGTTATTACTTATAGTAGCTATTACTATGCAACTATTATAAAGATATAGAGATACTATTGTATAAATATTATAATAGTAACATATTATTAGTTAATAGATGTTAAGAATAAGTTGTTGTAGTATAAATAACTTTTACAAACAGTTAACAAATTACATAACTAGGCTGTCTAGCTAACAATTCTATTTGCAACAAGACTTGTTACTATAGATATTACTATAGATACTTATTTCTATTTATTTGCTAATGCTTTTAGACCTTATCTACACTAGGTGACGACATCTGCTTAGGAGAGGGAGGATAGTTGTAACAGAGACATCGGATGACCCTAAGGGTGCCCTGGGAGATTGTAACGGCACAGGCAAGACAATAGGCCTAAATGCGGTGGGAATCTACTTAGAGGCATATAGGAGTGCGTGGGGACTTAGAACCTAGGAATTGCTATTAACACCTATAGGCCTTGTACAGAGGATATTAGAAAACTACTAAGCTAGCTACAGGGGCAAGGTGCAACTAAATACATAAGGGAATAGAGGTAACAGTAGAGGGCTAGGCAGAGTTAGGGCTAGGTTAAGGTTAGGGCTGATATAAGGGTCTTCTAGAGGTTCTAGGCAACCTAAGATGGAATAATTTATAAGAATTGTTACACTACTCTCTTCTTTATAGACTAATAGTCCTTATTAGTAGTAATTATAGTACAAATGTGAAGCTATGTGAGGCACTAGAGACATGAGGAACTGCATTGAATGTGTTGCTAGAGGAGTCCTTTGCAGGACTCTATATATATGCGAAATAAGTGGGTGAGTCGTGGCAACAGACTGTGCTGAGATGCATACGACTATGGTGCCGACGCATGATCATCGTGTGACGACACATCCGACTATCGTGCGACTATGGTGACGACGCATCCGAGTGTCACCACTGCAAACAACAAAGTACTGCTGTTATGTCCTCTGCCTTTTTAAACTAACACTAGTCTAATTTAGCTAGGTGTCCTTGTTCTAAAATATTCCTCTACACTGCTAGCAGTGTCCTCTAAACTAAACGCTATGCGTGCGCGCCTGCTTTAATATTAATCTGTATAGATGTCTAGCTAATTTCCTTGCTATCTGTGCAGTTATTAATCTTAGGCGTGTGTTTAGTAAGGTGACATTTAGGTATTTTTAAGGGTGCCTAAAAAGTCTCTTGCTATTAGGGTAGTGTTACGGCTAGAGAACTAACTGTAATTCTCTAATCAGCTGTACCTCACAGTTTAGGCGACGTTGGGTGGAAAACACTTAACCCCGTATTAGACAGATCACGTGACAGGACAGATAAGGAATAGCTCTAGCTTTTAGACAAAAGCCTAGCAGAATGCACTATCTAATAAAGCTCTAAGCATTGCAGGTTTACAGGTTGTGCAGGTTGTGCAGGCAACAAACATGCAAGCATGCACAACATGCACTGCATGTAAACCCTATGTATATAGTCTTAATCACAACTATAGTTAGAAGGCTGTAATTACTATTTAGTCTTTACATACATAATAAACTAAAAGGCATTAATACCTTTATAAAAAGAACATTACTGCCTTGTAAATCTTACACTATATATACCTTTTATTTTATCCTTTTAGATTAGTTTACTAGCTTCTTATACAGCTACTAGGTTAAACCACAACCTGCCTTCTTTATTCCCGCCTTACCTACACTCTGCTAGACAGACTGTACACCTGATCTAGCTAAGTTCTTCCTATTCTCCCCTAACATAACTATAGGCTGTAGTGCTTCTAAAAATACTATTTTATTAAAGTAAGAATTATAACAGTAATTACTACTACCTGTAAAGTATAGCTACTTTAACCTTAGACATTAGCATAACAGGTGCCTT